ACCCCACCTCTACAAAACTACAAAAATTAGGCAGGTGTGGTGGCATGCATCTGTGGTCTCAGCTACTTGGGGGACTGAGGCAAGATGATCACTTGAGCCCAGGAGGTCAAGGCTGCAGTGGGCAGTGATCATGCCACTACACTCCAGGCTGGATGACAAAGTAAAACTATCTCAAAAACAAAAAAAAAAGTCTACAACCCCACTTAAAGCAGTAAAGCAATATCAATTCCCCTCCCCAATGTCCTCTTCAACAGTGGGGTTCAGTCTTGGCAAGTGCCAGGGCCTGTAAGTCCTATAGGAGGAGATCTGAGGCAAACAGCATCCCACAGCCCCTATTCATTTGTGATCCGAAGAGTAGAGTACTGGATTACTCTATCCATTCATAAGGACCCAAATGTACCAGTTCTTACCAGGAAAACGTAACAGAAATGTCCACATGAGCTACCAATAGTTAAAAACATTTCTTTGAAAAATTAGGCCCTTTTGACAACAAACCAGTACAACTTTGGGCTTAAAAAAAAAAAAATTAGGCCACTCAATTACAAATATTTAAAATCCAATTTAAATTTTAAAAAATTAGGTGGGTGTTGCAGTGCAGTCTCTAGTCCTAGTTACTTTGGAGGTTGGGGTAGGAGGACTGCTTGAACCCAGAAAGTAGAGGTTGCAGTGAGCTACGATCACACCACTGCCTGGGCTACAGCTTGAGACTGTCTCAAATAAATAATCAAAACCCAATTAAGGCCGGGCTCAGTGCTTCACATGCGTGTAATCCAAGCACTTTGGGAGGCCCAGACGGGCAGATCACCTGAGGTTGGGAGTTTGAGACCAGTCTGATCAACATGAATAAACCCTGTCTCTACTAAAAATACAAAATTAGCTGGGTGTGGTGGCGTAAGACAGTAATACCAGTTACTGAGGAAGCTGTGGCAGAAGAATCACTTGACTCTGAGGTGGAGGTTGCAGACCGTGCCATTGTACTCCACCGTGGGCAACAAGAGCAAAACTCTG